GCTCTCAAACGGAAGTCCGGCCACCTAAAAGGTACCGTCTAAGAAAAGAGAACGCTTCCCAGTGTGTCTGCGGCTGGGAAGCCTGCCTTTCTAGCTCTCAAACGGACCTACTTAGCTACCTAGCCACCTAGCTACCTGGCTAGCTTGCTATCTACCTACCTACCTACCTACCTACCTACCTACCTACCTACCTACCTACCTACCTACCTACCTACCTACCTACCTACCTACCTACGTCCTGCCTACCTACGAACCTTACCTGCCTACCTACCTGCCTGCCTACCACCTACTTGCCTGGCCAATGACCCAGCAAACGTTCGAGCTGTTCCGCAAAGAAGCACCAGCGTCGCTGTCGTCTGCTTCGAGAAGCTTCTTTCTCAAGATGAAAAGCTTCTTTTGCACAGTGTGGTCTAAAGAATTTTGGTAAGCAAGCGAAGGTGTGTCCACCAAACCAATACTGCACTTGAATTGTTTGAAGATGAACAGCTTGATGCAGAAGCACTTCCATGTGCAGAAGGCTCTGCTATGTTTAAGTTCCCATTCTCCAATAGTCAAAACTCTGCAGAACAAGTAGAAAACTCAATTGATGTTTCTTCCAAAGATCGACCAAGCTTGTCTCTGCAGGGACGAAAACTGCCAAACCCAGATTTCGCACTGCCGAAGAGATGAGACTCTGCATTAAATCAGAGTTTTGGTTTTGCAGAAACACATTATTGTGGCAATTGTGTCCAACTGTTCTTTTCTGATAATGAAAGAAAAGTGGCGCGCGCAAAACGCCGCTCAAAAAAAAAAAAACTTTTTTGGCTTAGTTAGGAAAAACAGACTTCTAAAAGACAATCCAAACTCCATTTTGCATGTGGAATTTGAGAGAGGCAGTCCAAACTTTTGAAAAAACCGATCAACCAAAAGCAAGAAGCAGTCCAAAGCAGAAGAAACCAAAACTACAATGTTTATGCAAATCTGCTGAAGCCAGGGCGCTCTTCAAAGGCAGGTGGAACATGTCGAACTTGTCCTCTAGGGTTTCTACTACGTGGCGCTTCCGACTATAGCTGTTATAGCACCTAGGCAACACAACCAGCTTGCACAGGGAGTAGTCGTACATCAGCTCTCCGGTCTCTGTTGCGAACGCGTCACTGGTCATCTGACTCTTGCTCAAGCAGTCACAGAAGATCTGCAGAGTCGATCCGTTGCCCAGGATCGACTGGGCGGAGAGCGCCGATTGGCAAAGCAAACAGTGGCTGGGTTTTCCATGGTCCAGAATCTGCAGCCTCTTGATTATCAGTTCTTGTTGAGTGCTTTTTTTGTTTTCTCTGTTGGGGTTGCCGTGCGGGCAGATGCAGGATCTCGCTGCCAAGTCGTGCAATAAGCCGTACTGAGGCTTCGTGGCGTTGGCTTTGGAGATTCCGGAGATTGCCAGATATCTTAAGATGGACGAGCAAAGCCAAGAGAAGGTACTCAAGTACTTCTACCTTCGCGCTGGCGGCAGCTTCCGCGAGCTGCAGCTGCTCCTAGAAAACGCAGCCGAGGCCAACGTCTTGGATGCGCAGGGCGTCAAAAGCGAGATACAGAGAGAAGATCGGATCCATCAAGGACGTTTTGGCTGAGACGGAGGAGGAGGAAGAGGAAGAGGAGGATGGCTGGAGAAGTAAGTCCAAGAAGGAGCCGAAGTCCAAGTACCTGGGCTACGTGACGAAGGTGGCCCAAGCGGGTCAAGGTTATCTGAGCGGAAGCGATGACAAGAAGACAAAGCTGAAGATGGAGCTCCGACGCCTGCAGCCGGCGTAGGCAGTTCTTCGAAGCACCACGAGCACCAAGGTGGCTTTGCGCCATTGGTGCTTCGTCTTCTACGTCCTTGGCGAGACTGAGGAGGCTCTGCAAGCTGCAGGCTACATGAAGTGTGGACGCTTTACAACTTGGCGCAGAGACCGCAAAGAACGGCGAGCACCTGAGCAAAAAAAAGTAGACAAGTACGAATCTCTGCACGCCGCAGTAGCAGCCTTGCAACTGTTCCATTATTTCGCTTGCATCGTGTCGTTTTGCGACCGTTGGTACAGCTTTTCAAGGCCACAGTCGTACAACAAAATAAGAAGCATAAATACGGCCGGAAGGAGGGCCATGGAGCTCTCGCTTGGCTGGGCCTTGTGCTCGAGGCAACTACCTCGGCTATTTGTTGAAACGAATTTAGTGTCAGCTGGCCTTAAAGCTTGCCGAGCGAGGTTTCTAACAAATTTGTTTATATGTAAAAACAAATTCAGTCGCTATCAGACCATGGTGCAAACACCAAGGTCTTGCTTGAATATCTGGAAACGGGGTGGTGCCTCTGCTGCTTGAATTTGTTGGTGGTTTGCTGCTATTTCTTGCGATTTTTGGCATGGTGTCTGTTTAGGACCAGTGTTCGTAGTTCTCGAAACGAGTGGGTCGCGGGAAAGTCTGGGTCTCAGCCGTAGGGTTCGAGTCGCGAGAATACTTGCGTCTGATGTGTGGAATGATGTAGGTCGGACGAGAGCTTCTGCATTTACGTTGCGTTGCTAGTCTCTTGCCGGGTTGCTTCTTTCAGGTCGTCTTGACATCGGCATCCGGACGCGTGGGACCTGGCGTTGCAAAGTGCAGTTTCTTGCAAGATCGCCAGTCACTGAAAGTCTTGTGGTCTTGTGTTAAAGGTGAGCGCTGAAAGCATGTCTTGCTGCATCTGCGAGTTGTGTCTCGAGGGTACTTTGACAGGCCTTTGAACAGCCATGTCCTGGGACTCGAAGACAGATGATGCCCAAGTACGGATGGTCATGGACTCCTTGGTGAGGCGCTTGGCAGAAGACCCCGAAGACTTCTGCTGCCCCATCTCTCTGTGCCTTATGGAGGATCCAGTGCTTGCGGAGGATGGCCGAACCTACGAAAGAAAGTCCATCCAAGAAGCCCTACGACATCGGCTGGCAAGCCCTTTAACCAATCTGTACATGGGGAGACGACTTGTCCCGGACAGTAAGACGAAGACGGCAATTGTTGAGTTCAAGGAAAAAGTGGTTGAGGACATCATGTCGCATGTCCCCTGCATGTCTCCACTCCAGGCTTTGAAGCTTCTCTTTCGAGCCGAAGGCTTTGTTCGGGAGAGGCTGCCCGATCCGGCCGCAAAGGACGCGCTCATCACAATCCTGATGCTCAGGGCACGCTTGCCGAGTCCCCTCCGTGGTGATGCCATCTCAGAATTGACGACCATGTGCGCAGATCCTGCAGTCGACCTCAAGAAGGTGGTGGAAAGGCTCCTTTGCAAGCTCGGTCTGAAGTCCTTGCTTGCGGAGCTCGATGACCAAACGGTTGCGAGGTTCTGTCTGGCGGCGCATGTCGCCCCAAAGTCTGCTTGTTGCCACGCGATTGACCGGGAACAGGTGTGCAGGCTCGCTGTTCACTCAGATGAGCAAGAGGGTGCCCGAAAGTTGTGGAAGTTTGTGAAGACACGTGCCGCATGCGGAAACCCGGAATGGGTGATGGCGGCAGGGCTGGTTTTGGCAGCTCGCTATAGCATTCTCGGAGTCCCAGGTCCGCTTCCCTGCGTAATCTCCCGGAAGGCCGTCGAGTACATGCAGAATCCTGCAATGGGCTTGTCGGATGCTAAGAACTTCTTCCGCCTTTCACTGGACTTCGACGATCCGGTTGAAGGTAGGGCAGAGGCGCAGGTCAAGCTCTTGTTGGACATGTGTTCTCAACAGGAGGACGAAAGGGATCGACAGAAACTGTTACTGGAGGCACATTATGTTGATCCCAGAGATGCAGAAGTGTTGAAGCAGCTCACGCAGTGCTTTACACAAGAGTTGGAGTCCAAGGGCAAGATAGAGAATGAGGATGCCTTCATCAGCTTCCTCCTTGGCGTGCATGGTAGCATCCCAGAAGAGTTTCTCTCCAAGCTTGGTTTCGACGACCGCACCATCCGCGCACTGGCGGTGGAGCCTGAGCTGGTGGTGAAACTCGCGGAACAGCTCCAGTCTTCTGGACGCGGCAAAGATGGGGCGAAGATTTTGATGACGATGAGCGAGGAGCTGGAGGAGGACGGATCTGCAAGCAGCCAGGTGAAATCTCAGCAGGCCAGCTTACAGGCGTACAACATGAGTGGCTACAGCCAGGAAGCTCTTCATCTAGTTTTGAGCATTCTCAGCCGCAGGCTCATGCAGATGCAGCTTGAGTGCCGAGAGATGCAAGCCAAGTGTAGTGAGCAGGAGGATTGTATTGAACGCTTACGAGACGAGCAGACTCAGCTGCGTAGCTACCAGCAGCCCATGATGACGATTGAATGGGATATCTCTAGACGAGAGCTCTCCGCATTGACCAAGGGACTTTCAGTGAATAGCCCACCGTTCGAGATCGCCGCTACAGGACTATCTGCTTGGTTTCAGTACTTCCCGCAAGGGGCGACTTCTGCGGAGGACGGATTTGCATCGTTGTACCTTTTCGGAGACAAGGACTCCATCATCGAGTGTGACCTCTCAGTGGGTTCGGAGCGCAAGACCATGGAGAATTCTCCCGTCACCCCAGGCGGAACCGGACGGGGTTGGGCCAACTTCGTGAGGATCGGGGCGCACAAGAAGATTTCGATCATCGTCTACTCAGTCAAGTCCTTCGTGCGATCCGATCTCATGTACATCCATTACTAGCAACCATACATCGCAACTGTGTACTCGTTCATATCATTATGACGCTTAATGTTAGGCTGTGCTTTTCATGACACATGTGCTTCATGTTGTCACAGCCCGGCCGGCAGATCAGGGCCCCTGCCGGCCGGAATTGCGGACATGTCGTGACATGGTCCTCAGTGGTCCTTCTCCGATGTGTGCATCGGAGACACTTAATGCTGCATATGAATGTTTCTCAAATGAAGCCGTGATTTGCGCGGAGCTCATTGCATGCCAGACAGACTGCGAGTCGCGCAACATGAGGGCAGTGCGCTTGTTGTGCCTGCAGGGTCAGGTTTCAGTCGTTTCAGTGTCCACCCAAATGCTGTGATGTTTCCTGGCTCTTGACAAAAGGCCACGGTCGCCGAGGAGCTGGATGTTCCTGGAGGTGCACTTAGAATTGAGGTGGATTGAAGTGGTGGTTCCTACGGAATACCCTGAACCCTAAACTTAAAACCTTGAACCCTAGATAAATCCCTGAGCCCAAGACTTTAACGCGAGGAGGCTGTCGCAGCGCTCTGCCACTACTGCATCTGCTTCATACGCAGGCGGCGTTCACTGGGCTTTCATCTAAGGTCAGAAGTATGGGCCCCTAATAATTAATATGGACCCTTAGGCCTTTCTAGGGACCCTTAAGGGTACATATAGGGTATAGAGTAGGTGTATCAGGATCCCAGGGTTAAGGGCCCATACTAGGGCATGGGTTCAACCTTGGAGTTCAACTCAACCCTAAACCCTAAAGCCTAAACCATAAACTCTAAACCCTAAACCCTAAACCCTAAACCATAAACCCTAAACCCTAAACCCTAAGCCCTAAACCATAAACCCTAAACCCTAAACCCTAATAATCCTCGTGGGTGGTCGTCTCGCTTAGGGTCGCCTTTTTAGTCACTGACTTTGTTAAAGGAAACTACAGGTGGGGAGTTTAGGGTCCATAGGGCTTCTGTAAGGCTTCTATAAGGTTTAAAGGCCTTCTATAAGGCTCCTATAACGGTAACTACTTCGTTTTTTGGGCAGGCACTGGAATGATGACTTCGTAACAGAAGTCCTTAAGCAGGTCGAACTTTAGGGGTTGAAGGTACTTGAAGGCACATCCCTGAGTTTTGAATTGCAAAAACTTCGGAACCGCGTCAGAAGGTCGAGCTGAGGTCTCGGAGCCTGAACAGTTGGCATTATCAGGTAGGGTTTAGGGTTTAGGGTTTAGGGTTTAGGGTTTAGGGTTTAGGGTCTAGGGTTTAGCGTCTAGGGTTTAGGGTTTAGGGTTTGGGGACAGTATTTTCGATCTGACATGTGCAAGAAAGATATAATTGCCCGGGCCAGCCGCGATGAAACCTTTTCGACCGAAGGTGTGTTGCTTTCCAGCTCATTTTTGGTTGGTCGATGCATCGACTGTGTTCGGTTCGAATTTAGCAGGTTTTGGGTTTCTGGCCCATTGGGGATCGCATCTCCACCTGACCTGTCCGTGTCTACTGAGCCGTTCCCAGGTGGTTGGTTGACATGTTCGTCTTCTAGCTGATTTGTTGTCCGGTTCACAGGGTGTTTTCCCCTCTGCAGCCGCATGAAGCCGAGACTCAGAACGAATCATGTGAGGCAGGCATAGAACCAGTTTCACAGTGAAACATCCGCTGCATCATCGAAAAGATTTGTGCGAGCAAGCCTTCTCCTAAACCCTAAACCCTAAACCCTAAGCCCTACACCCTTTCTGATTCGATTTGGAAACATCTCCCAAACTCCACGCCGAAGCCTTCAACCCTGCAGCCTCCACGTCCGTGTAACGCAGGGGATTTCGGCTCGGCCAGCGACCGCTGCGGCCACATTTCAGAGCAAAAAGATTCGCTTCCAGGCTGGGTTTAGGGTCTAGGGTTTAGGGCGGGAATCAGGAATACTAGCTGCGACATTGACATTGTCAAGTGGAGAAGGGGCGGCAGCCATCGTTGGTCATGATAAATCGGGATAGCTAGCGCTCACGGTGCCATGCCTCATGGCGACGGTCATGATAAGGATGCTGTTGTAGTGACGATTCACCGTTCTTTACCATCCTCCTCCTCCTCCCTGTCGACGTCGTCATCGTCGCCATCATCTCCATCATCACTACCATCACCACAACCACCACAACCACCATCACCATTGAATCACGATCACAAAAACCATCACGATAACCATCAGGGTCACCTTCACCTTCACCATCACCGTCACCCTCACTTTCACCTTCATCTTCGCCTTCACCATGGTGAAACTACCATCAGCATCATTATAACGACCATCGATATCATCTTCATACCATCACCGCATTATTATTGCCATTGAAATGATCCTTTTCGTTATCAGCTGTCGGTTTCCAGAATCAATGTCCAAAGCGACCAGCATGGGAGCACCGCGACACATAGTATGGCATAGCATGGAAATTCGACATTGGTACCAAAGGCTTTAGTGTCGAATAGAACAACCCCAGAAAGATCATGACACCGAGCGCTCGATGACAGCTGAAGCTTTGCGTGACCAGGCACACCTCTCAAGCCCCTAAACCTCCCACCCTGACCGCAAAACCCAAAATCCCCCGGAACGTAAAGCTTGGTCATCTTGGGCCGGGAAGGTTTCAGGAGTTTGCCTAACCCCTCAGCCCTGAAGTAGCAACAGGCCAGCAACCTGTTGTGTGTTTGGGGATGGCTCAGAGAGCAGGATTTGTTGAGGAGTGGTCCTTATGGCCAAAAAGGTCTATATACAACAGTAGGTCTTATGCCTGCACTACGAGCTTTACTATAGCAATCTTTCTCTTTCTCTGCTTTTGGTCTGTCTGTCTGTCTCCCTCTGTCTGTCTGTCTGTCTGTCTTTGATTGGAGTATCAAGTTGTGCACGAGCAAAGGGAGCACTTTTGCTAAGCTGCCCCTCAGCCCTGGCTCAAGACGGGCAGCACCAGGCTTCAAATGGGAGTTTCCGAAAATTANNCTACTATTTAGGGTACCATATTAGGGCCCCCTATTTTCGGAAACCCCCAAATGTGTCAAGGTTTGCAGATCGGTCCAAGGTTTTGGAGCTTTCCAGTGCCCGACTTGAGGTGCACGTTGAACGTGATGGGCTCCGTTTAGGGTCGTGTGAGTGTAAGATGACAGCATCGCCGGGGCTTTGGAAGCTAGCACAAACTTGACCACGAGACCTGCACAAGCATCGTGTTCGTTGGGATAGGGATGCGATGGAACCACTGGTGGGAAACACGCCAACTTCCAGCTGATGAAGCTGACCTTGGTCGTGGATGAGGTCTCAGTGGAGTAGGGCTGTCACGTGTTTCATCTGTGAGTGCCGCGGACATGAGAGTACTGGATGGTCCCTCGTAAAACTATCATCTTTATGAACATTGTGACAAGCTTTTAGTGTGGCAGTGGCACTGGCACTGAACCTAAACCCTAAACCCTAAACCCTACACCCTAAAGTTCAAGACAGGCACAACAAAGCCTCAAAGGCATCTTCTTAAACCGGTTTTGGGCTTTGGGTTTTGGGTTTTGGGATTTGGGTTTTGGGTTTTGGGACTTGGGTTTTGGGATTTGGGTTTTGGGGCATCTTCTTAAACCTCCCCAGAGGGCCCAAGACCGCTTCATTAAGGAATATACCTTAAACTATAAGGGCCTTAATTTTTGTGATATATATATATATATTCCTGAATCATGCGGTATTGGGTTCTCTGGGTCGTTCATCCCTCGACCCTTAACCTTAGGCCCTAATCCCCTAAACCCCTAAACCTCCCCAAAGCCCTAAACCCTAAACCCCCCATCCCCTAATCCTTAACCCTTAGATTGCGGAGCCACTGAACCCGAAACCCTAAACCCGAAACCCCAAACCCTAAACCCAAAGCCCTAAACCTCCCCAAAACCCTAAACCCTAAACCCTAAAACCCTAAACCCTAAACCCCAAACCCAAAGCCCTAAACCCTAAAACCCTAAACCCTAAGCCCTAAAACCCCAAACCCCTAAACCCCCAAAACCCTAAACTCCTCCGCTTCGGGAGGTTTCCGTAGAGGCGCCTTCCGCCGCAGAGTCGGAGCTGCTGCAGACGCTCCTGGAGGCGCCGCGGTTTGGGGTTTGGGGTTTAGGGTTTTGGGTTTTCGGCTTTGGGTTTTGGGTTTTGGGCTTTGGGTTTTGGGCTTTGGGTTTTGGGCTTTGGGTTTTAGGTTTTGGGCTTTAGGTTTTGGGTTTAGGGTTTTGGGCTTTGGGTTTTGGGATTTGGGTTTTGGGTTTTGGGATTTGGGTTTTGGGCTTTGGGATTTGGGTTTTGGGTTTTGGG